GGGAGAGAGAGAGAGAGAGAGAGAATTAACTTTGTTCCTCCTAAAGAAATGTACAAATACAATGTAGTTTTATCCATGAGATTCCGTATTGATTTCTGCCAGAAAATTTCTCTTTTTCAACAGACATTCCACGCTCACCATGATTGATAGCTTTAAAATATAACCCACAGGCCACATAGAAAGCATTCCCATCCAAAATAGTACTAATAATAATATATTCTATCCCACAGAGTAGAGCCATAACCTTTACCATGATATGACCACTCTTAAAACAAACTACTTCAATTATAATATATTAGAGTGTAAGCAACCCAAAACCCATGTTAATTCTTATTCACAAGCCTTCATTTTTCCAATTGAAATCAACATTCACATTCATCTCTATTCCACTTTCTTTTTCTTTTCTTTTTTCACACTATGGCAAGAAGAACAACACAAGTTCTTGATACAATGTATTTGATGAACACAGCTCAGATCTTCAAAGAATCCATGAGAGTAATTCTTCTTCATCCAACTCAGTTCCATTCCATCTCTGTCTTCCTCTTCTCACCTCTTCCCATCTCGCTCTTCTGCTCACACTTTCTCATCCACCATTTTCCGCAAATATTCAGTACTGCCACCCACAACTTGTTTGGCTATCCACTGCCTAAACTGCTCTCCAAAACCATGCTTCATATCATCATATGCTTTCCTTTATCCACCACATTCTCTCTTCTTGGGAAAGCTGCAACCGTCCAAGCTGTTTCCGATAGTTACAATGGAATCAACCTTGACGGCAGAAGATTGCTAATCAGAAGTGGGGTTTCATGGATCAAGCTCCTCCATACAACCTTCTGGGAATCCCTCATTGTTCTTGGCCTAATTGGAGTTTTGGTTGTCAATCTTGCAATAGTACCGAAGATACTACATATGTGCGGTATTTGCTCGGAAGTGTTGGGATTCTGGGGTGTCCTCGGGTTCTTAGGAATACCTTTTTGTGTGGCATTTGCGCATGTCATGGTCGTGGGGAATATGGCTAGAGTGATATCAGTACTGGAGGGAGAATGTTACGGATTTGAGACTTTACTAAGGGCCAAGACGCTCATGGAAGGAAGGCGACAAACGGCTTTGATCATGGCGTTGTTGAGCAACATGGGGCTTAGACTCGTTGAATGTGTGTTTGAGTTTAGGATGTGCAAGGGGATTAACTTGTGGGAAGGTCCTGTGTTGGTTTCAATGTACTCTTTGGTGCTTGTTTTTGACACGGTCATGAATGTTGTGTTCTATTATGCTTGTAAATCTTTTAATGATTGATACATTTGGTCCAAGTATCATTTACACGTTATCATGAATCTATGAATTTTCATCCCGCTAGTAATCTTGTTAGTGTATGATAATCTCCAATGCGAAGTGTTTTTACATGTGCATAATAAATGTCTTGTACCACACGGGGAGAGAAGAGATGAGAGAATATAAGACTTTGCCCAGGTTTCTCTAGCACTAGATAGATGGTACGCACTTTTTCTACACTCATATTTTGTGGATCGACCGTGAGGATCAGACTTCCGGCGAGGTGAACACTGATTACCGTGACGGTATATGGTGGTTGAACACTGGTCACCATGACGGCATACGGTGGTTGGCTGCTGATATGTTTAATGTGTTTTTCGTAACAATGAGATTTGCTAATATTTTTAATGTGTTTTTCATGGCAATGAGATTCTCAGACATTTGAATGATACCTTGTTAGGTGAGATTCAGATTACTCTAAAATAAGGTAAATTGAATTTCATGAGATTGACTCTTCTTTAAAAAATTTTATAATTTTTGTACCAAACAAGCCCATTCCCGTTACCCACCACCATCTTAAGATTTGCTATATACCAATTGTCCCTCGAGGAACAAGCATGAGAAAGTCTACTTATTATTTTCTTCTCATTTTTCTTAACTAGTAGGAAAATGGAAGCAATTCTCCGGGTAGGGCAAAAATTGGGAGGAAAAGAAAAAAAGACGAGAAATCTGTTGTCGATACTTATTTAAGTTGTACAATTAAGAATCGTCTAAATTTTAGGACATGAATTGAGTGAGGGCAAATACAACAAATGGCAAAGACAAAAGGCATATATGCTACATATTTTTCAAAAGGGATGTACTCTCATTGGCTCGTTGCCAAGGCCAAAGCCCCAATAAAAGCACATTGCATAAGAACTCAAACTTCCAAAAAAATCTTCAGTAAGCAAACCCTTTCTTGAGCTCAGAGCAGATGCTTCTTTTGCCATTTCAGTTGGAGCAGACTTAGATGCCACCAAGTTTCGCACCACTCCAGACCCTGATATGAGTAAACAAGGCGGCAAAAAGGAATAAGAAAAACAATTATTACCTTCAAGTAAATAAATAAACAAATAAACAAAAATGCATAAAAATAAAAAGATTGCCAGCAATGCATATTCTAAAAATCAACCTATTACCTTAAAAAAAAACCCCTATTAAGGTAGCATTAGCAACATCCTGATATGTAAATAAATGTCAACAACTAAACATGCGTAACTATGGCGTTCATATATAGGACTTAAAAGATTGAGTTCAAATACAAACAAGGCAAATTGCAGAAAGGAAAACAATGATCAAAAGCCTTTAAATTCAAATGAAACACAGACTTGGGTGTGATAATAAAAACTCTAGACCACCAGAACATAAGGAACAATAACTAAACTTTAAGGAGGCGGGTAGTACTAACAAGAGCAATAAGAAAGCTGTACGGAACTAAAGAAAGAAATAGACTACGATGAATTATGCCACGATTCATTCCACATTCTGAACTTATGTATGTAGCTCAGTAAATTCTAACAAACCAGCTAAACAATTAGTTAATGATATACCACATGGAAACGAGGGAGTTTCATAAGCAAACACGATCGGAGGATAATACCATGAAACAAAATATCAACAAGAGTAACAAGTCAATCTTTTTAAGTTCATGAATTGTAGTAAAAGAAAGATCATATGGAACAACTTGTTATAAACCAATCAGAATCAACAACACAATACAAAAGTTAACAATTATCAATGGAAGCCAACCTACTATTACGCAATTACGACAACAAACAAACAAAGCAAAAACATAATGCCCTACGAAAGAAAACACTGCAGGCAATTCAATATGCTAACGAAGCTCTGGTATGGAAACATACATAAGAAACTTACCCACATCACTCGCTGAGGTCCTCAGCAGAATCACCACTATCATCACTATCATCAACACCATCTTCATCCTCATCATCATTCTCCTGTATTTTTGCAATTTCAGCTTGCGTCCTCTCCAGAATCTGCTTCTTCTGCAGCTCCAACTCCCTATAAAAGTCTCTTCTCATGTTCTCCAACTCCATCATCTGCTGCCTCTTATTGCTCTCAATCTTCCCATAAATCTCTCCAAACTTCTGAATCGAATCCGCCAACACCCGAAACGATGAAGACGACTCTCCATTACCACCACCACCACTTCTCACCCTCCTCGGAGGAAGCCCATCGGAATCATTCCCATTATCATCTTCCTCATCTGAATTCTCCGACTCGACGGGACTGTCCCTCATCTCATCGAACCTGTTCGACCGGTCCAAGTAAACTCGCGTATTCGCAAACACGAACTCGCCGGAATCCACCCCACAGGCGAGCCCGTGGTTCTGCCTCGCCGGCGAGGCCATCAAAATATCCATCTTCTTGAAATAAGCCCATTTGCTCGACTTCAAACCCAATTCATCCATTCTCGCCTTCTCTTTCTTGTACTTCCTCTTCAAACTATCCAACATGTTTCTGCACTGCATCTCCGTCCTCGATATCTTCGAAACCTCGGCAACTTTCTCCGACACCTCTTGCCAATCCTCGAACCTCAAGCTCCTCCTTCCCAATTGAACAAACATATTGCCCCAAACCTCCAAGAGCACGAAAACCGCGCGCTCGGTCCAATCCTTTTCGACCCCCAAACTCCGAACTCCGTAAGAGGACTTAGCCCTAGGCGCGAACTCGAAGCTCGGAACAAAATTCTTCACCTTCCGCTTCTTCGGATGCCTCTCGAAATCGACGAATTCCTCGTCGTCTTGTCGGTCCATTTCTTCGTCGAGCTCGTCCAATTCCTCGTCCTCGTCGTCTTTTTCTTCGTAGCGAGTCGGGATTGGGCCAGCGTAAGGGATGTTGTCTCGGGTGCGAAGCTTTCTAGGGTTTGAGAAGTTTAGAGGGTAAGATTTGCGAGAGTACCTTGAATCGTCGTCTTCAATGCCGTCCATCTCTGAAACTGAATCAGAGCTCAAAGAAGCACCGAATTTCAAATCAATGGAGGCTGAATTGTGGAGATTCGATTAAAGAAGCTGAGGATTCTCTGGAATTTGTGCTGAAATTGGGAATTTTGAATTTAGGGTTTTGCAGAAATTTGAGAGACGAAATTGATTGAAAGCTGGAGAGGTGCTGAGAAGAAAAACAGGAAAATGAAGGTCATGGTGAAACGAAATGTCGTTCCTGATTAAGTTTAATTGTTTATTTATTTATTTTTAGGGCATGACTACAGCACGTACCCCTATGTTTGCTATTGATAACAAAGATTTTAGACCGTCCGATTCAAGTTAATGGTTGAAGATCGCGTTCCCATAGAGACAAAAATAGACCCAACCACATTTGCTTATAACCCTTTCTAAACTAATAATTAATAAAAATGAAAAATATAAAAAAAAAAGTGCATGCATGAGACACCATTTTTTACTTTTCACACACTCATTTTTAATATTATTAAATTATCCATCAATAAAATCACTTTTAAAGGCAATAATATTAAAAAAAAAAAAAAACTCATACACACCCCTCATTGAAAAGAAAAAATATTGCCTTCTAAAGATTATTGTGCCTACTTTTATTTCAATGTGAAAGGCTCTCTCCAAAAAAGATACGTAGTTAAATTTTTTTAAAAACACTTTTTTTTTCATTCAATTCTTGATGATCACGGATCATTAGTTTTGAAAAATTCGTGATTAGTAAAAAGTTTTATGAAACATATATCTTAGAATAATTGAACAATATTTCTAATGGAAAAAGAATTATTTGAAAGGAAAATGTCCCATGTATTTTTGTTATTATTTAATTATGTTGAGTAACAGTAGCAAAACAAAAATTAAGCTGAGTAAACTTGGAATTTGGTACCACTGCTTTTTAGGCGAAAATATAAATCTGCTCTCAATCGAAACAAGAAAAATATACAATTAGGATTTTCTCTGTAGAAGACATATTAATCTTTTCCGTAGAAGACAAAAGAAACTTAGCTCAAGTTTGGGAGACCGTTACTTCTTCAAATGAGTAATGAAGTTATACATGCCATAGCTAACCTGAATACATAATTTTTGGGATTTAATTTGGTTTTCGTTTTAATCTACCATTAATCTGACAAGAGATAATCAATTAATCTATTATATGGTTGTCGGCAATTTCGTTTCACGTATATGAAAAAAATCTAAAAGAAGAAAAGGATAAATTTGATTGTGGATGGATGAAACAAAGGTAAGAACAATACAATTTAGTTGTAAGGATTTTTTTGTTTAAATTTTAAAAGAGGTGTAATAAGTATGACGAGGGTGATTTAAGAACGTGCGTGTGAAAAATAGAATTAGGGGTTTTAATTGTAGGGACTTTATTGAAATTTTAAAAAGAATATAACAAGTAGAATGAGAGATAGATTAAGAATATGTGTATAAAAAGTAAAAAAGAATGTCTCAATAGATGCGCGAAAAAAAAAATCAGGCATCTCCCCCACATCCCTGTCGTGCCAGAATATGCCCCATAGGTTCCGTCTAGTCACACCAAAACCTGCCCATCCAACTACGACCCTGTTGTGATAGGAATCTCGACTGCAACCTCCGTCGGCGCGACCCTATTGTGACAGGAATCTCAATTGTGATCTCCGTCAGCGCGACCCTGTTGTGATAGGAATCTCGACTATGACCTCCGGCAGCGCGACCCTGTTGCGACTAGATCACGACCTATGTCGCCGTTGTGATGGGTCGCGACCGTCGTTGCCATGGGTTGTGGCGAGATTGCGACCTTGTTGCCATTGTGATGGGTCGCGACAATCACAATAATGACGTTTGAGATTTTCTGCAGAATCTCTTGGTTACCCACCATCGCGATTTGAGGTCACCGGAGGCGACCCCACCACCTCCTCGGTGATGAGGTCATTTTCATATTTGGCAAGCCCCTTCCCAGTGACATTCATGGGTTGTTTGGTTGGAGGATTCATACCCTGATTCGAATAATAGTTCGTGGTTCGCTATAATATTTTCTCTCATAAAAAACACACGTAAATTGATCATGATTCTGAATCATTATTCAGACGTCCACTCAATGAATCTGTAGCTTTTTTTTTCTTTTTCATTTATGTGATCTAGTGTACATGGCTCATCTATCTAATGATGAGCTTACTTAATTTTTAACCCCTGGATTGACATTCAATGGACCAAAAATTCCCTACCGATGCGGACAAGAGAGATTCGGTATCGTAACATTTCCCTTATTTTTATTAACATCATGTAAAAAGTACCGCCATCGTACAATGAAAAGTACTACTCTTCAGTTCCACCAAAAAGAAAAAGTACTACTCTACGAATGAAAGGACAAAAAAGTACTACTTGTCGTTTTATGTGTAAAGTTTGTCGTTCTATTCCGGAAAAACTTCATGTCGTATATATCATAGTTTTGATTGTCGTTTAAAGAAAAACTTCATGTCGTCTATCTCATAGTTTTAGTAGCTATTATTATTGTCAATTGTTGTCGTCTATGTCAATTGTCAAATGACGACATGTTGTCTTTTGATTATAAAGTACCCACGTCGTTTATGTTTTCAAATAACGTGTTTGATTTACAAAAGGTTGCTATCGTTTGTTTGTTTGTTTTTTTTTTTTTTTTTTTTTTTTTTTTTTGCTGGAAAAAAGTTAATTGCCCGACTTATGATTATTTGGTAGAAAATATTAGAGGAGGAAAATAATTAGGTGAGGCATCCAAGTCTAAAAAACCTCAAAGGGATATAAAATATTGGATGAAACTAATTATTTATTTAATTAGATCATAATGTAAAAATTAATAAGGAAGAAAATTACACTATATATAGCGTCAAATTTACTTTATTGTTTCTCGCTATTAAAGAAAAACCAACTAAAAATAAAATGGTAATTTCATAAATGCATATATTTTCATTTCTCTTCCTTGATATACAGTGTATATACTAAATACGTAAGAAAAGTTAGTTTTTAATAATACCTTTCTCTTGGCAACTTCATAGTATATGTGTGTAATTTTTCCCCTTTCATGAGAGAACTATTATTTTATTTATATTCGTATAAAAAAGTATCAAAGATATCCCATGAAAATATAAAAAGCCAAAAACAAATTATCGATAAACAAAAACAACATTAAACATTAAACAATATTGTTGCACTTGCCCGTGGGATACGCAACTGAGCCAATCGCTACAGCCTACAGTTTCACATTCATGTTGTGGTAAGAAACCCATCACGCATATATATATAAATATATACATATATATTCATAGGCATCCTCGTAGCTTCCCATGCAAAGGGATCAGCAGCTAGCGTGGCCCATTTTTACCTTTGCATGCCGATTATGCCCCGCACTCCATTAATGTCGTTCGGTTCTCAAGAAAATTATTAATGACACCAACGGGAAAGAGAGATAGATGCATGGGAAAGTCACGCAGACCATAATGTGAGTTGACCCAATCACGTAAACGAGCATGTAATCGAGCTGGCCTGCCTATTTTAAAGCTATATAAATACATACATACATACATATATATAAGCAATTACAGACTACTATACTCTCCCAACTTCCAACGATATTAGCAGTTATTCTGATTTACTTTATTCACAGACAAAAAATTCGTGGTCTCTTCAAGTGATTATAAATAGAGTCATGGCTCATCTGAGAGTTTCATGGTATTGTGAGTTTACGTGTAGCTTTATGCTGTGCTTTGTAGTATTTGTTTGATGATGGCGGGAAAGTTTGTGAGTGTGGTTTTGTGGGCTGCTTTGCTTGTGGCTTGTGTGGAAAGCGGTGAAGGAATTAGAAAGGTGGAGGACAATAAGGGTGGGGCAGTGAAGAAGCCGAAGTGGTTTTTTGATGGTTTTCCGGGCGGGTGGGGTGGCGGCGGGAAAGGGTTGAGCTTTGGGCATTCTTTTAGTCTGGGGAAAGGGTACGGTTATAGTTTGGGTTACGGATCCAAACCTGGGTTGGGTTTGGGAAAGCCTGATTGCATTGGGAAAGGTGGTGGTGGGGGCGGTGGAGTAGGCGGAGGAGGTGGTGGAGGGATTGGCGGTGGTGGTGGGGTTGGTGGCGGTGGAGGGATTGGTGGCGGTGGCGGGGCTGGCGGTGGAAAGCACCACAAGAAAAAAGACAAAAAGCATCATAAAGGTGGTGGTATTGGCAAAGGAGTGGGAGGTTCCGGGGGAGGGATTGGTGGGGGTGGGGGTGGAGGAGGACTTGGAGGAGGCATTGGCAAAGGCGGCGGTGGAGGTGGAGGTGCTGCTGGTGGAATAGGTGGCGGTGGAGGAGTTGGTAGAGGAGCCGGTGGTGGTGCTGGTGGAGGCATTGGCAAAGGAGGAGGTGGCGGTGGAGGAGTCGGTAGAGGAACCGGTGGTGGTGCTGGTGGAGGGATTGGAGGCGGCATTGGCAAAGGAGGTGGTGCTGGTGGAATAGGTAGCGGTGGAGGAGTCGGTGGTGGTGCTGGTGGAGGGGTTGGAGGAGGCATTGGCAAAGGAGGTGGTGCTGGTGGAGGTGCCGGTGGTGCTGGTGGAATAGGTAGCGGTGGAGGAGTCGGTGGTGGTGCTGGTGGAGGGGTTGGAGGAGGCATTGGCAAAGGAGGTGGTGCTGGTGGAGGTGCCGGTGGAGTAGGGAGCGGGGGGGGGGGCGGTGGGGGAAAAAAAAATGGTGGAATAGGTGGCGGTGGAGGAGTCGGTGGTGGTGCTGGTGGGGGGGTTGGAGGAGGCATTGGCAAAGGACTTGGTGGTGGTGGAGGAGTCGGTGGAGGTTCCGGTGGTGGAATTGGTGGTGGTGGAGGGATTGGAGGCGGCATTGGCAAAGGAGTGGGTGGTGGTGGAGGAATAGGTGGCGGTGCGGGTGCTGGCGGGGGAGTAGGTGGCGGTGCTGGTGGAGGAGTTGGTGGAGGTGTTGGCAAAGGTGGGGGTGGTGGTTCGGGGGGAGGTATTGGTGGCGGCGGTGGGTTTGGTGGAGGCATTGGGAAAGGAATAGGCGGTGGCACCGGCGGAGGGTTCGGGGGAGGTTTTGGTGGTGGTGGAGGAGGAGGTTTTGGTGGAGGCATTGGTGGTGGAGGAGGTGGAGGTTTTGGTGGAGGCATTGGTGGTGGTGGCAAGCATTAGTGCAGTCTAATAAGGATTATTTGGCAATGATATTAATTAATGGTTCGTTTCTACATAAAAGAATGTTTTAATATTCTTGTTTCTTAAACAAATTCTGTTTATCCATTCAATGTCCTGGCGACTAGTTATATGTCAAGTTTGCTTTGTTCCTTTTATTAGTCCTAACACTTGTATGATTATCGAGAGAGTGACAATGTGTTGTGTATTTAATCTCATGTATTCTATTGTGTAGGTACTTTTGAACTAGGATTGAATAATAATAATAATAATAATAATAATAATAATAATAATAATATCAGTCGTTATGTACTAGCAATCCTGTTTCATTGGTACAACCTTTCAAGGACCTGTAAGTGTGATTGTATAATGTCAATTGCTGCCAAGTGTATACTATGTTTACAAAATTCCTTGTCTTTTATATTCGAAGTTCGCTTTTGCCTTATTGCTGAAGTATTTGCATAATTCCAAGTACAGCCAATTGTTAGTGACAACCTGCAGATCAATTAAGATCATGCATGGCTTTTCACGTTTAAGGTTCCCATGACAATGATATGTCCGTAACTGCTTCTTCTACCGTCAAATAAAGTCCTTTTGATTCAAATGATTCCAAGATGTTTGAACGGTGGAGCTTCTCCATCACAGTTGCAACAGGATTCACCAAAACAAACTAACAAAAAAAGTATAGTTATAATGAGCAGACCAAATCAAACATGCGCATATGATGTACATGTTTTTGGTACCAAAAAAAAAAAAAAAAAAAAAACAATTTCACCTCACTTTACTTTTTAGACTTTAAAAACTCTCATTTGATCCATAAATTTTAAATTAGTCCTATTTTTGATCCCTTATGTTAGAATATCCGTTAAAAATAAACGCAAAAAGATCACATGACTGATGACACACTTAATAATCACATTTTCTGTCTATTTTTAACGAGAATTCTAATAAAAGTGGTTAAGTAAGACTAATTCAAAATTCAAAATATAGTTGGAAACGACCCTATAAGGCGGGGCCGCAGGGGAGAACGATCCAACAAAATAAGTGAAGACTTTAGTTGGCTAATATCCTATTATTACCTGAAGAGATTTTTTGCCCAGGGTCCTCTTAAGTTCAGCTATAAGATCAAGACCACAGGTATCTATAGCTGTGACAGCTGAAAATGGATAAGACAATAATGAATTAGTTTAAAACTTTTTTCAAAGCTTATGGAGGACGAGTTTAAAGTAGCTTAATTTTCTTTTCATGTCACTTTGCTATCTCTAAATTTAGATATGCAATATATATATATATATTGCATACCAGTCATATCCAAAATTACGCATTTCAAGGGTAACCCATTGTCTCTTTGAATCCTTTCATCCTCTTTCCGTATCCATCTTAATATCCTGCAACAAAGAAAACACAAGTGAAGGATCAAACAACAGTTTATATTTTGCTATAATAAACTCATGAGTTGTTTAAAAATAAAAGACTTAGTGGAAATTTCTACTAATTACCTCTCTTGGAGGTAAGTTGAATTGGTGAAGAAGATTGGAGATTCAATCCCTAGAATGAGAAAGTAAGCAATCCTTGTTGTATTTTTGTAACGATGGAGGTTTTGATATATTTGAGTGCCTGGAATATTTCCCAATACCACAGTGTTTGGTCTCGTTACATGCAAAATGATTTTCAATATTGACACTCCAATCTACAAATCCCAAAGAAAATGATCAAAATATTATTGACAATCAAAATTGAAGCAAGTGAAGGTAATAAAGCGTTAAGTTTAAGAGAGTATTACAGCAATAGCAAGGCCAATCTGCACAGAGAGGAACAGAACACCAAAAAGAGAACATAAACAGGCAAAGAAATCAAGCTTGTCAAGCTTCCACAGATTGATTACAGCCTTAATGTCAATCAATCCAATAACAGCTATTATGATAATTGCTGCTAATGCCACATCTGGTGTGTAAGAAAATAGTGGCATGAAGAAGAGCAATGTCACAAGGACAACCACCGCCATTATAGCATTTGAAAGCGCTGTTCTTGCTCCTGCGTTGTAATTTACCGCAGACCGAGAGAATGAGCCTGCAAAATTTTGCAAGATTAAAAGGGGTTGACATTAAGGGCTGATTAAATTGACTCTGATTGCCAGAATTGAGTTAAAGATGCATGATTACCTGTTGTAATGAAACATGAACAACAAGAACCAGCTACGTTCATCACACCGATCGCCATCATTTCTTTGTTACCATCAAGTTGATAATTCTGAATGGAAGCAAATGTTCTTCCAACTGCAACTCCTTCCTATGGGATGCAATGCACAAGCAAAATACAATAAAATTTAAAAAAAAAAAAAAAAAGTAATTTGGACATATCATATCAAAACTTGCTTGATCATTTCTTTGCAAAACATTGGATATCAATCTTGAAGATTGATCCTTATAGCATCAACATTAAGCATGATTCTCATCAAGGTACTAAATCAAGACATATAACAGTTATCCAGTGGCGGAGTCACGTTCACGTGAGTGGGGATACGTCCCTATTCACATTTTAAACATTTTAATTGTGCTTCCACTTTATAAGCTAAATTATAATTGTCTCCCACTTATTAGTTCACATATATAATTACGCCCCGTTTGATGAACAATTATTTCTGACTTTTTTATAGTGCCCCCACGTAAAAATATTTTCTAGCTTTGCCACTGCACCTATCCGTTAAAATAATTGCAAAATTAATAATCAACTCGGCCTAAAACAATGCAAATCACTGATAACTTTCATACACAGATAATAGAATCGGTTGGAGAGTATTAAAGTACATACAGTGAGAGCTAAGAGGCCTGTTACAATCCCTGTTTCGATAGCAAGAGCAAGGTAAGAATCACGATGAAAGTATAGAATGTTTGCTGAAGGAGGGTTGACACCATTTGGTAGCCGACCAATCTGCTTGACAACAATACTGAATTAGTCGGTTAAATTTGATTATATTTTTGAAATTAAAATTATCTGAATTTAATTATGCTAAAAGGGTATTTGAAACCTCACTAATTTAGTCCTTTTTTAATGATGAGCAATAACATTAAACTTGAAAGAGAAAGATTGGCTTGTAATATTCTTACCTTAGGAACATGTTTAAATTTCGTTTGAAGGGCAAACACTACAATAGTTGATACAATAATGGAAACCAGTGGTGCTGCTGCTGCAATCCAGAAGAGCTTTGGTTTTTTTGAGCTCTGAAATATTCATTGCAATCCATATTAATCTTATGTTACCTTCCAAATTTAACTCGAAATGATAATAAGATAACCATTACTATTGATTTTAACTAATCACAGTTTCACATGTCAACTTTCACGTGATAATTATTAACAGGTCGAAAAATCAATTGTCATAATATTTAGATGATTTAAAACAAGTTACACAGAAGTGATAAATTAATACTCACAATGTGTCTCGCTCCAAGTAAAAATACCAGCATACAGATTCCCATTATAATGATTTGGCCAGACCACTAGACAAAACAACAAACTTAAGGTGAATAAAAAGAAGATACTATAAGTTATTGCATAATATCAATACAACATAAAATACACAAAATTCATGTCACATTATAAGATATTATATTTTTGTACATATGTAACTATATACCTCATTTCTGCCACTAATAACTGAGGACAGAACAGGAACCAACTGCATGTGTTGTGTGAAGTGAGTTATTCCAAACAATCCTTTAAGCTGCTGGAGGGACACAAGGATGGCTACTCCAGCCATGAACCCAAGCAAAGTTGCCTTTGACAGAAAATCAAGTATGAAACCTAACCTAAAACAGTAGTGAACCCAACTAAAATATAAGTTCGCTTTTTTTTTTTTCCCTTTAAAATAACGATACGCAGTATTAATTTTTTTAAGTAATTATGAATTCACATGTTAATTTTAAAACTCGCAGACTATTACAGCTGTGATCACTATCGATCTGTAATATTTAGCAAGCTTTTTTTCATACGGCCGATCGATAGTGATCACATGTTAATTCCATAACTCGCAGGCTATATATTATGTGTGTTAATGTCCAGCGTTTGCAAATATGGAAATATTGGTAATTCGTTACCTAAAAAGACCCAAAGAAGCTTGAAACAATCCGGCAAAAAAGGTAGCAGTGAAGGCAAGTCTGAGATGGAGATCTGGTTCAGTCTCAAAAGAGACCATTTCGCTTAGCATTGTCCCCATCACCAAAGATGCTGTGGAAGTGGGACCCACGGCCAGATGTCTTGAACAGCCAAGAATCGAATATAACAATGGTGGCACAAAACTTGAATCTGATATTATTGAATTTGAACAATTAGTTAAATTTGGGATTAGTACTTTACAGTTAACTATATAGATCTACCTCTATGAAAAGTCTAAAAGAAATAACTGATTATTCCAAGATAAACACTCACATAGGCCAATTATTGGAGGCAAATTTGCAAGTTTGGCATAGTTAATTCCCTGCAAATCATGGAAAACAATAACTGTTCTTAAATACCCAAGCCAAATTACTTATTAAAAGCTGCTTCATTGAAGATTCAATTTTATCATTCACAGGGAAAAATAAAAAGGCATAAGTTTAAGCTTTAATCATGGCCCTTCCTTACTGTAGAAAATGCAAATTCACATTGACTTCAAGTAGGTCTTGCATAAAAATGGACAGTCATGACAGGCTCAAGAAACATGAGAGATTTGTAATTAAAAACCAAAGAAGAAAATCAACAAAAACATGCCTTAAACACATAATATTAAAACTCAATAATGTCAGGCTTAACCATGACACAACTATTATACTATAAGGTCTATTTTTTATTAGTGTGCGGTGCTCAACACTAGTATTATTCATGATTTATATACACGCAAATAAAATTCAAAATGTTAAGCTTTAACCACGACATGAAAGTAGGCCCCCCGAGTGCGCGGCTATGATCACTTGTGGACGAATTCATATAGTACTGTAATGCTCATAGATATACCATAATACATTAATTATGAAATGATAATCAAATTAGTATGTTTGTATAATTACCTGTGGGATTGCCAAACTGGAAATGGTGATTCCAGCAATGAGATCAGATCTGAAGAGGGCAAAATCATAGTGAGGCATCCATTGGAAGACATGGAACAAGCCCTGAACTCCCAACACCACCTTCTCGTACAAAGTCCGGCTCCTGAAAGCCGAAAGTGGATCATCCGGGAAGAATATCTCGAACAATTGTCGCTTCAGTTTCTCATTTGTTGGCACAAAAGGTGGCATACAAACTCTGTGTATTTCACACACATTGTTATTACCCCTACTTGCTCTAATTGGCATAACATTATCAAAAACCTTAATGTCGTCGCTATCATTGTCATTAATCATGTAATCTTGATCGTCGTCAATGGTTGTAGTTTCATCACGATTATGATGATCATCTACTTGGTTGGAGCTCTCAGTGTCCGGCATGTTTTTCTCTGATGTTTTAAGTTTGACGAAAAAGGAAGTTTTTATGAAAAATATTGGTTGAAAATGAGAGAGAAGAGAGAGGAAGTAGTTATAGGCCGTTTCTTCTTCTTTTAACTGCATGGCTTAACGCTTTCATGTGAAAAGGACACGTGGCAAAAGGACCATTTGTTTTGAGCAATGCTAGGTTTTTTTTTTTTTTCTTTTTTTAGAACAATTTTCTTTTTCTTTTGAGGAAAGGAAAGGAAAAAGACCATTGTTGAAGATGATGTGGCATTCATTCATTGGTGGAATTGAGGATTTTTTTTTTTTTTATGGAGGAATTGAGGAATTTTGGTATGTCAACTTATATTTTTCTCGTTGAATTTGACTGGATTTTTTTTTTATTAAAAAAGACGGCTTAATTTATGTATTCGTGAGGGGAAGAAAAATTATTTACTATTTTTAGAGCAGAAATAAAAGCCTCAATTAAAGTAGTTTCAGTGTTTCTAAACCACTGAGTAAGCATCAGTTTCTCCTTGTAAAATGTATGTATTGTCTACGTAGCATCTTTTGTTTCCTTTAAGTTGATATATGCCTCAATGTATATTCTGGTTGTTTTCAAATGCTAAAAATTGATCCCTTTTTTTTTCCTTACATGATCCGAGGTCAAACTGATTCTTTTCTTTTCAATTTCTTCTTTAAAATAAATAGATGAAGCTATTTGTTTAAAAAGGACAATCTGATTCAACTACGGGAAGTTGTAACAATAAAATGAGTTAATTATATCCATGTTTTAATATAAATCGTTACCATGTTTTTTAAGAATATTATTTTAAATTTTTAATAATATACGTGTGTTTTTTAACAACATAGTGATTAACCAATATCAGTTTGTAATTAATCAATCTCAATCAATAAATTACTGATTTATCAATAATAAACTATTAGTTAATTGATGATAAATGATTAATTACTGTAGAAAGATGGTTATTTTCCTAAAATAAAAAGTTCAACCATATATCTAAAACATAAAAAGTTCGACTATTTATTAAAGAAGATAGCCCAAAAAATGACCATTTACCTAATTTTTTCTCGTTCTTAACTTATTATTCTCTTAAGATTTTTAGTCCAAGGATATCTTTCACCCTTTTTCTGAAAAAAGAAACGCTCCGTGTATATATGTAATGTCCCGGTTAATCTAATAATTAATAAGTAAAATTAATTAAAGATTTTTTTTTGACTGCGCCTTAATTATCCCTAAGAAAATATATGTCCAGAGCTTATAATATTAAACTTCGGCATTAATTACGAGAAACGTTAATAAGAGAATATAAGAATGTTGAGTATTAAAGCAAAATATAAAGTATGGGATTTCTTGGAAAATCCCATGTCAAGTTTTATGATTTGAGAATTTTGGAATTATTTTTATGACATTAAAAACAGGCCTCAACACTATTATGAGCCTAATAAGTGCAATAAGGTAAAGTTTATCTAAAATTTAGCTTATGGATGAGAATTTAATTTCTCAAATCCTTAATTAATTTAATATTATAAGCTCTGGACATATTTTTTCTTAGGAATTTAACCGTGCATCCATGAAAAATTCTTAATTAATTTTACTTATTAATTAATGAATTTTCTGGGACATTACAATACATATGTTTCTGGTAACGTTATTTTTGGTTTAACGTTATTTTTGGATTTTTGCCTGTATTACCATTTTAGCAATATATATATATATATATATGTATGTATGTGTGTGTATATTAATATGTATCTTCCGGTAGAAGAAAGTTGTCTATTTCTTTGTCTTTCTCTTTGTATTCCAGTTGTCTCTGATTCTCGCTCTCTTGTACAATAATACTACCATCAATTTTCAGGCTAATCAGTACTCCCGTTTATCATGGAGGGGCAAATATGAAAGGTCATTGTTCAAGGAGAATCCTAGCTAGCTCGAATAAATAGAAACATATATATATATATATATAGATATATACACACATATATACACACACACACTTTTGGATATGACATTTCAACATCAAGGCATATAGAGATATGTAACGATTTCAATTTCCTATACCATTCACATGAAAAGCATGTCAACTTTTAAGATTCTGTTGCGCACTGAGTGGCAAGGAAATGCAAGTCGATAGGGAAATAATTATTAAAGAAGAATTATTGAAGGCTAATGGGAAAACTGTATTAGAATAATTTGCTTCTTTTTCCCCCAATCGTTTTATTCGGCTATACGTATATTGGTACATTTTTTTCATGCATTATGTATGAAATAATGTACCAATATAGTCGTTTTATACGGCTATATTGGTGCATTTTTCACGCATTTATGGGATAAAAGATGTTAGGGATTGCTAACAAATACAAAATTAATGCAAATACAAGGTGGCATCCTAATCTAAGGTTAATTCTAGGACTTGAGAATCCTTGTTTGAGTTAATCCCTTTCACATGGTCCAATATCTGATACTGCATTTGGGAAATTTTAAGATTTAGTTTGCTGACGGCCGAATCACAATCCACCAAATAATTTCAAACTCTCCAACTAAAAAACACAAACGCACTATCATATGGGTGTACAACATTTTGTTATTCAACATTCCTTTTTCTTTGATGTAATTGAACGTCATATATACATACATATATACGCATTTTTATGACTAGGAAAATGACTAACCAGATTCACAAAAGTGGATTAATGTGTAAGGACGATTATTTAAACAAACTGATAAAGGTGATGAGAGTGTGATTGTTGGCTCTTAACTATTTTGAAGCGGGCCATCATAAATACTCATAATGTAAGAGAAAGAATTCCCTTTCCCAACCTGATCTCTTCACGCATAGCAAATTGCCCAAAAGGGTTTTTGACTTTTCTGAGCTACCAAAGGTCAAGAGGTAGATGAAGAAGCTAGCAAAGGCCACAAAACCCATGTAGAGTGAAGTGTTTGAAAAAGCAAATAATCATAGAATAATGCTAAAGTGCACTAGTTCTAGTATATTCAACATCACACACTAATAGAAAGTGTGCGAGTCCTATTTGTGAGGCATGCGTTATAGGGTAGGGAGGAACTTCTATTTGAGGATGGTGTTGAAGTATTTTTCGTAATTGTAAAATGCATTTCTCCTTAAATGGTACTCCAAAAGTTGTAGAAACGCAAGAGAAGTAATACTAATAATCCCTATCGAATACAAATTAGGAAGACAAAAAAATAAAGTTAAATTTCAAAAATGGTTTTTAAACTTTACACCAGTCTCATTTCAATCCTTGACGTTTAAAACATCTCAAAATTGTCGTAAACTACCTTTGTGTAGCATAATTAGTCCCTATGATGGAAAACAACATATGTCATTTGATGAGCAGTTCGATTGTTGGAGTTGAAAAATACCACAAGAGCCCCATGAGAAATTATAACATTATCACATTTAGAAAAAAAAAAAAAAAATCAGATGAAATAAAACAAGAGCAAAAATTGCTGCTTTTGGGCGGCTTGCTAACGTATGTATATATAACTTGTTCAACATTCATTCCTGATCGAAGCTTCCTATGCAAAATTCCATCAAGACCCGATCCTTAGAATTTGTCTACATATATACAAGTCATATTTGTCTATATATATATAAGTCAATTCAAATTTTCCAAACAACACCTCAGTCCTATTGTAGTTGAGTGACGTAATTCTAAGATTGTTGGTGGATACTGGATAGTATGGTGGCAAGATCTTCCACATTTTTGTCAGTACTGTATATCTGTGTATAACTATAACTTAAGGTAATTATGCGTTCCACGTGTATTTCCATTTTGTAATAATACTTCAAATATATGTTTGTGCAATATTTGCTTGCTAGAATTAATGCTAGTCCATATTTTGGCGCTTGACTATAATTTGACATAATTTGATGATTAACTTATGTGGTAGAATCGACAAACAAGATGTCGGGAAAAAGGTCTGAAAGTGGACAAAGATTATGAGATCGTGTATGGACTATTAAACAGAAAAAAAAAAAAAAGGAATAATTTTACGGTGACGAAATGGATCTATCATGGAGAGAATTCAAGGCATGTTATCAAGTTATTGGGGTCCAATAAATGGGAACAAAGTTGCTCTTTTGCATTTTAATAATTCTTTCTGAATGATTTAAGTCTGATCTAGAACCACTATCGATTGTTGTTATAGAATTGTGGCATGATCATAAAAGGCCAGCTCTAACAATTAATTTTATTTGTACTCTTTTGACCCATAAACTGATATTGTGGCATGATCATAAAATGTTGTTATTATTTGGTATTAATTAGTACTCTTTTGACCATTAAATTTTTAATATTAACCACATGCTTACAATAGAAATATCTAGCCGAAAGAATGCAACGATTCGTGTTTACAAACTTTATCTTTCCGAAAAAAGCTCATTGTTATTCTTAATATACATGTCTAAGTGAAATTATTGGCATTACTAGCTGGCTTAATTAATTTGCTGCTGCATGGTTTTATCCTAATATTCTTTTTACCTGTCTTTAGGATCTGTGTCGTAGAGCTAATTTATAGAAGTTGTTTTCAGTTTTCTCAAACCAAAAGTTATTTCCTTAAGTGTGCTTCTACTCCCGAAGAGCTTTAATCAAACCACAAAATATGATTAATATTAAAAAAAAACTCTTTTAAATAGATTTTAAAACGTGTACCAGAGTTTAAATATGAAACTATAAACTTTATTCTAAGATTTTATTGCTTCTTAGAAAATTTAAAAACCATTTGACTCATTTATTAAGCTCTTTTAAAAATATAGTTCAAAACACTTACTAATTAAAATTCATACTTTTTACTTCTCTTCTTCCACTAACTGAAAGCAAAAGTAAAAGCAAGAACTTTAATAAATGGACCCTTATGTTATGTCTGGTAGGATGGATAAAAAAAGAGGGAGAAAGAAGAAATAAAATACCTAGGTGAAAGAAGTAAAATAGTAGAATAGGGATTTTCTCTCATGTAGTTTGGTAGAAAAGAAAGAAAA